AGCGGGTGCAGAACATATCCCGGAACTGCTCCCATGTAACAGCAGCTCGCTGATCATCCGTATACGACCCTGTCGTCAATCTTCACCAGTCCTTTTCCCCAAGCCTCAGTAGGTTCAGGGCATAGCTGGCCTTCTGGTCAGTAGGACATGAATACATGAAGAAACGTCCCTCCACGTTAGATAACCACCTCATATCCCTGATCGCATCTTGTGTACCATCAAACGTCACGGGCTTCGTATTATCGAAGTCTAGGTACTGGAAAGCCCATCAAATCCTCCTTCAACCCCTTCTGCAGTTACAGCTGAAGTGGCTGCAGCGGTAGCTGTCTCTGCTATAGCTGCATATCGCTCATCAAAGTACTCGACCATCACGGTCTTAATCGACCTAAACATCTCTGGCAGTTGCACTCAGAATGCTGCAGTAATCTCGTCGTGCATAATCTCCCGGATCCTTGCATCCAACTCCTCGGTACCTATCTGTACCACGGGCTCAGGTGTTATCGGCACCTCTTACCCTCCGTCTCCTAATCCTGATCCTGATCCTGATCCAGATCCAGATCTAGAAGCAACACGTCTCCTCACCACCATACTATAATATATACAAGTCATCAGATAAATAACATAATATCGAGAAACCAAAACCCACAAACCCTAAGGGTTGTGACTTCCTTTCCACACGTATGGGTCCTGTGCTTTAAGTAGTACGAGCCCATACTACCTTCCACACCTACCCATATTTGTCTCATGTATCACCACAACACCCTAGCACTATCATCAACATAATATGCGCTCAACCCTTACTCTTAGGGAAACATCGCCTATCCCCCAACTGACCTTACAACTCCTCACAACCCACACATCCATGAAACTTTCATCATCCCCTGCAGCACTAGTGTATGCTAGTTGCACATAACGTTGGACCCAATAGACTTTCGAATATCCAATCCTACCCGAAGGCCGAATAAACATTCTCAGGCTATAAGGTCTTTATTATGCACAACGTGATGCATACACTAAACATCTACAGTTATGATGTCAATTCCATATAGAAGAAACCCTAGGCTAATATAATCTAGCTAACAAAGATCCCTAGCCTAGCACTAGCATTATGTTCTAACATATCAAAATATCAAATAACTGTATGGTATTTTGGGGTTCGCTTACAGGCTTCGGCTGATCGTACCCTCTGCATCCTCCATCCTATATTTTTTTAAAACCATTTTAAAATTTGACTTTCCGAAAATCTCCTTGATTTGAGACTGGATTCACACGAGTGCTCCTCCAATTCACTCAAACCAAGGCTTTGATACCAACTTGTAACATCCAAAAATTTTACGCCAAATTTAAACTTTTCAAGCATAAATAAAACAAAATAGTAATTGTTTACAAAGGTGTTCTCAATTCATCATTCAATCAGAGTGTCCCAAAAGCTAGATCATAAGGATGAGGAGCGGTACGATCACGCCTTCGCCTTGCGATTAACTCCTGAGGTACCTGAAAAAATAAACTAAAAAGTGTAAGCATGAGGGCTTAGTGAGCTACCCCCAAAATACCAATACCAAACTGATAATACCATATATGTAATAACAAATTAATCAACATGCATACTGGGCCATCGGCCTGACTGAACTGCCCTACATGGTCTACAGTCCAACTGGATCTACATCGAGCCTTCGGCATGACTGGACCGCCACGTGGGCCTACAGGCTTCCCGAACCTCTCCTAGGGTGTGTGGGCCTTCATCACAAAGCAGGACCGCCTCAACCCATGCAACAAGAAAATAACCATGTACGCATAACAAACATTTACTAGCATATACAAAATATCGAACATATCTACTTACTGATTACCAAACATACCAATCTCTCATAACTAGAGCACTGACCTAGCAGGTCACTAACATATCAATCCCTACAGATCATAAGAACATAACATATAGTCTATCCTGATTCTGATCTAACGGATCATGTCCACATGTATTAGACCATAACGATAACAACTAAAGGGCCGGCCTTGGTGCCTTAGACCCTATGGATATAGTGAGGATAACTCATCTTGCAAATTTCGACTCGAAAGATAAACTCCAACTCTTGGGTCACTTGACATAGGCTCCACCACCTATCACCATAGTACAATATACTAATAAGTCCTTAACCTTATAAGGTACACCATAACCCACTAGTAAACCCCTGGCCAAGGTCAAAGTCCTCCGTCAAGTTCAACAATCCATGTTGTCGTTAACTCGCCGAGAACCCTCGGCTACTCGTCGAGTTCCTTGAAGCATTATCCAAGTCGTTGATTCATCGAGGTGACTCGTCTAGTTCCTCCGATTCTTAATCACACTTGTAAGCCACCCATCGAGTTTCCTTCTTTCAACTCGACGGATACACACGCATACATATATTAGAGAAAACTCATCCGACTCGCTGAGTTGTTCATACAACTCGCCGAGTCTATGGCAATCTTCATCAGACTCGTCGAGTTGCTCATCCAACTCATCGAGTTCAAGGCCATCTTCATACGGATTGCCGAGTCAACCTTGCAACTCGTCGAGTTCCTTCAGCCCTTAAGCCATACATACTCATTTAAGCCGTGGAATGGCTCCAAATTACAGATCCAAGCTTCTAGAGCATGCTTTTCATGTAAAGTTGCAAGCTTTACGTGTATGCATGGCTAAAAAGCCTCTTAATGGCGATTCTACGCTCTTAATGGGATTTCATGCACATGGAGGGTTTCAATCACCCTGATACCCACAACTTTATGGCTCTAGGAAATAGGAAGGGTCCAGATCTAAAGTTACAACTTAAAATCCAGCCCATAGCTCCCCATATCAACTCAAAATCCATAAAACCCTAAAACATAACCAAAAGAAAAGAGATCTAGAAGGGAAGGGAAGTAAAGATTGCAACTTGATACCTCCAGAAGATGGTAGCTGAGGTACGGTCTGCTTCCCACACCTTACTTGCTTCAACTCCTTTGCTCTTCAAGCTTTTCCCTCCTAACTAACCTTCTTTCCAAGGCTTAAATGACACCAAGAAGAGTACCACACGAATTAGGGTTTCACTGAGTTTCTCAAAGACTGTAAAGAGGCCAAATGAGGCTGAGGCTCCTTTAAATAGGGTGCTAAACCCCTAGATTTAGGGTTTCATCTTCCAACTCCTACTCATCGAGTCCCTTCATGGAGTCGGCAAGTAGGTCACTAAACATGCGTATCAAACCTGTTGCTACTCGATGAGTAAGGCAACCAATTCGTCGAGTAAGCCTTGAAACCAATTAAATTCTTATTTAAACGATACTTGGGAATTGGGTCTTTACATTATGTCACAATATAAGAAACCTCATGGCTACCAAAATTAGCACCTATGAGATACACAAGAGTGATATCCGATTTTGTTAGTGCGAGTAACCTCCTCGCAAGTTCCTCCATTGTTGGTGGTATTGTGTGAAGCATTTGAGGCATCACACTTGGCGTTCTAGGCTCTTAAAGTCTTCAAGGTTCAAAGCTACAACAAAGGTAAGCCATCTAACTAGATATTTGTAGTGTATGTACTCCATAGTATGCTAGTTAGGGTGATGCCTTGTAAAATTGAAAGTTTGGATGTATAATAGAGAAAACATAGATCCAAGGTATCGAGGGTTGCATGTACACCTTAGGAGTGTTAGAATGATAAAAAAAAAACCTCAGTTTCAAACCAAAAAACTCTTTTTATTGGAGACTTCGGGCTCTCCGGGGCTTTCTCCTAGTGCTAGGAAGGTTCCCTAAGCTTTGAGGGGTTTATTGTAGCTTAAGAGAGAGTAGAGAGTGAAGGAGATTTGAAAATTGCAAAACAATTCAGTCAACCTTGCACCCTTTTTATAGGTGGCCAAAGCTTCATTTTATGTTGGGCGTAACTTCAGTACGCAGGGCGTACCCTCGTACGAAGCGTGGAGGACCAGGGTGCAGTTCAAATGTGTCAACCATGTGAAGGAGCAATCATGTCCGCTTCTGGACCAAGAAATGTGAGACCGCAAGGAGTATGGATCTTTTACACAGGGTGTACCTCGGTACGCTTGGTGTACCTCGGTACGCTTGGCGTACGCTTCGTACGTGAGGCGTTCCTTCGGATAAGCCTCGAAGTGTGTGCCTCGAACTTCAAAAATTTATAACTTTCACATATGAACTCCGTTTTCTACTTTCTATACAACTTCTGTTTAGAATCCATCAGCTAATTTTGAATTTAGTTATAAAGTTATATTTTTAACAGGCCGGGACAAGAAATGTCCGTTAAAAATTCATAACTTCTTCATCCGATGTGTGTTTTCATCTGTCTTTGTATTGTTGAACTACTATCGACGAGATCTTCGATTCTCATTTTGGTTGTGTCGGCTAAAAATCGCTCGATGTATAATTCAAATTCCGGGATGCACACTGTTATGCCAAATCTTAGAAAATTCATAACTTCCTCACACAAAGTCAGATTTGGACATTCTTTTTTTGCACACTCTCGGTTTAATGTATACTATGACTTTCATTTAGATCACTAAGGATAAAAAGCATTTTATCATAAACTCACTTTTTACGTCACACAGCATCGTGTCAATTCTATCACGAAATTTTGACATACCATAATTTCTTTGTTATAACTCGAATTTTGGCGTTCTTTATATCTCCGGAATCCTTGTTACGACCATTACAACTTTCTTCATAGATATCAGGTTTATCTAACATTTTATTTTGATTCTTATTTTTATTCTTAATTTATTATATCATCAAAATTAAATATAAAGCACATAAATTCACATAATTCATTCTTATTACTTCAAAATGAGTTACAATGGTTGACATAGACTATTACATCATCTTTAATGCTTATCCCAGAAATGCAGGCATTACATTGGTTGTTTGTAATACTTAACAATATTCCCCTTCCTGTTACACCTACTACAAATCTTTTTATGTTGTTTCCAAAATGATGGAATTATCATAGGTTACATTTCGGGTGTTTACCTGCATATTATCCTTAAGATTTGGGGGTTGCTACTAGGGTTGGAACTGCAGTGATGGCATAGACCTTGACAGTCTCATGTGTCTTGCTCGGGGTTTTCTTGGAGTTTCCCTTGAATTCGTTTCCAGACTTTCGCTTCTTGTCTCCAGATTTCGAGATGTCCGCTCTCTGAACCAAAGTGTTGCACCTGATCTCCTGATTGGTTAAGCTGAAAGAAAACCTATTGTTACTATCTTACGTGGTTGGTTGAGAGGATGTGGCTAATCCCTGGATGGGTTGAAATAACCCCCCAAATGTAACTTTTAATCTTTTTATGCTCAGGGGTCACAAAACTGAGACAGAAGATTGCTAACTCATTAAATTGATTAGTGTAGGATATGATATATGTGTCAGTCATGGTGAGGTTCCATAATTCTTGCTTCAACTTCTACATTTCTTCTCGATGGCAATACTCCTTGATCAGAATTTAATTGAACTCTCCCCAAGGCAAATAGATTACATTGGTGATTCCCAAAGTCTTCGTATGGCCATTCCACCAAAAAAAAATGTTGTTTGTATAAAGGTATGAGCATCAAACTTTACTTTACTCTCCTCAATGTAGAGACTGGTCTCAAAAATAGATTTAGTTTTCTCAATCCACAGTGTGAGTCCTACAACTCTCTCATTTTCATAAAACATCTTAGTCTTGCAATTCATAAATTCCTTATGCGTGCAAGCCTTTGGAAGACCTTAGTTTTCCCGTTGTGAGCTTTCACCTCCTTCTCGTAGTCCAAATCCGAGCTAGTGGTTTGCTTCGAACCTTCCATAGCATCGGCAATTCATTGTGCTACTAAGGCCTCTATGGATGATGAGTCTGTAGGGGGTTGCTTTGAGAAGAATATGCATATTGGTTTGAATGGGGTCCAAGGTTATAGATCATGTGATTCTTAGTGGTTCCATTTCTTGATCCCAAAGTTAATATCGATAAGAGAGTTAGTTGTTTGCTTTTTTATGTGTGTTGCCTTCAAGGTAGTGGTTATGATGTAGTGAGTTATTGTTAGTGTTAGTCAAGGAATAGAGTAATAGCATAGAAATACATATTTCATACAACCTTAGTATTTTACATGCATCGTATTCTTGTTACAAGTGAACCACCAAAAGATATGGTTAGTGTATGAAAAGCTTAATAGTTTACAAAACAGTATGTACTCTATATCTTGCTAGCTTTTCTGAGTAAACTAGCCCAAAAATATGTGAGTCTACCCTAGCCCATCATGCTAGGTAAACCTACAACCCACAATATACAATAAAAGTGCAATTAGTTGTACCAATTGTCTATACACAGAATCCAACCAAGTGTCTGAAAAAGATATCATCCTCTCAAGCCTCTCAACCTACTACTATAACCTATATGTGTGATTCACAACCTCCTCTACCACCTGCTGCTAAAATTACACCTCATCACGAGCTTCCTGTAATTGATCTTGTACTAGTAGGATTTGCATCTCAGCAATGTCTAGTTCCTCCTCTATATAGTATACCATATCATTCAGTTGACTTAGTGCCATCCGCAACATAAAGAGATCAGAGTCCAAGGCTCATATGGATTTGGAGTTTTTGTGACATCCCCATTTTCACGGCCAGAAAAGACCGATTTTGTTTATGCTTTATAAAAATCAGAGTACTTCATTTTATAAAAAGGTTGCGGAATTTGTTCCCAGAAAAACACGATAAATACGTTATTAAAACATTTTCGAAGAAACGTATTTTTATTCATTTAAAACGTTTGGGATGTCATCGTTAATACAGAAACATAAGCATAAACAGAACTTACATGTATTTACACTAGTGATCTACATCTCTTTAAATCTCTCAGTGTAAAGTGACTTCGTATCAACACCTGTGATATAAATAAACTGAGTGGGTCAGGTTGGGAAACCTGGTGAGTACATAGGGTTTTCAACCCACAATAATATAATTATTATGTTCAATCAAAGAATCAACCCAATTACCCATCCCCGTTATCTTTTTTTTTTACTCTTTAAGGATTTATCCTAAGAGTCATCTATTCTTCATTCGTTTATTCCGAAGTCCCTTACTTCCAGGGTTCTAGGACTGGCACTAAATCCATAGCTGCCAATGTTCGTTCATAAAGCACTAATTCCATAGCTGCTATAGTCTATTCATCGGGTACTAAATCCATAGCTACCAGTCTTTATCTAATAGTACTAAGTCCATAGCTACCAATGTTCAACAGGTACTAAATCCATAGCTACCAACGTCTAACAGGTACTAAGTCCATAGCTACCGGTGTTTGTCCCATAGGCACTAAGTCTATAGCTGCGAATGTATACTCACATCATCTTCTATCTATCATCATTTATCTACCCATCATCATACCCAACATATTCGTATATATAAAATACGTATACAGTTTAAATCCTTTAAAACATGTATAAAACGTTCATCCAGCATAGACAGCAAGTATTCAGATAATATGCACACATAGCACGTAGTTTATATAAAATACTTCATATCTATGTGTAAGATGAAAGAGACTATGCACTCACAACACGTAAATTATATAATAAATACTTCATATCTATGTGTAAGATGAAAGGGACCATGCACTCACAATACGTAAATTATATAATAAATACTTCATATCTATGTGTAAGATGAAAGGGACCATGCACTCACAACACGTATTATATAATAAATACTTCATATCTATGTGTAAGATGAAAGGGACCATGCACTCACCTGTTTACTTTAAAATAATTTCTTTCGACGAAACCTAGTATTATCACCAATAGATTTTAGTCTATTATTCGCCGAGACTAATTAATAGTCTAGCTATTATTACTATTATATAAGCGTTAAAAAAATACTTATATAACCCATAATAATAGCCCAAGTATTTATTATATGTTCTTAATAACGTTAATATAATTAAATAAAAACTATATTAAAAATAGCGTAGGCGTAGCTCACTTACAACGGGTTTTATAGAAAACCAGGCTTTGCTTGGAGCAGCGTTTCCGAGCCGAAAAGCTCTTCTTCTCGGAGCCGTCGAGCACTCCGGGGCTTCCGCCTCGTGCTAGGGAGGTTCCCTAGGCTTTTCGGGGGATTTCGGGGCTAGAGAGAGGTTCTAGAGAGAGAGTAAAGAGAAGAAAGAATGGGAAAGGTGTGAAGAAAATGAGGGTGGGAGAGGTGGTATTTATAGGGTGAAAATGGCTGAACTTGGTGCCACATGTCACCATCTAGTGGCAAGACTTGGGGAGAAAGCAATGGCCAAGATTGTGCCACATCACCCATTTTCGCATAGCACACTTCCGACTTCTAAAATCCGTAACTTTCACATACGACCTCTGTTTTTGACGTTCTTTATATCCACGCGTAGGTAAAAATAATATCTACAACTTTCATTTTGACTCCGTCGGCTAATTCTCGACCGATCTTAAATTTAACAGTACGAGGCGTTTAGACTGTTAAATGACCGCGAAGAATTCGTAACTCCTTCATACCGACTCCGTTTTCGTCTGTATTTTTACCGTTGAGTTCCTATTAATGAGATCTTGAACTCTCATTTAGGTCACGTAAGCCAAAAACCGCTCGAACTAAAATTCGAGTTTCGGGTCGTGCACTGCTAAGCCGAATCTTAGAAAAATCATAACTTCCTCATACGAAGTCAGATTTGGGTGTTCTTTTTATCGACGCTCTTAGTTTAACATATTCTACGACTTTGGTTTAGATTGCTAAGGATAAATCTCGCTCTATCGTAAATTCACTATTTACGCTTCCCGGTGCCGTGCCGGTTTTGCCGTAAAACTTCGACGGGCCATAACTTCTTCGTTATAACTCGGATTTCGGCGTTCTTTATATGTACGGAAACCTTGTGACATATTCTACAATTTGGTTAAGATTATTTATTCTAAATAATCTTTTGTCGAAAAGTCATTTTCAACCCATATTGCCTCTAAATTGACTAGCCCGGATCTGCGGGCGTTACAATTATCTCCCCCTTAGGATGATTACGTCCCGGAATCATCAACGAAACAGGGCTCGTATATTGACTCCATACGTCATCTCTTCATCCTAGGTAATAATTATAACTTCTTTATTCATTCGAGTCTATCTTTTAGACTTATTGTCTGTAAGTAGTACTTAATTGTGCACCTGCTATCTTCTTCAGGTTAGACTCCAGATTACGACGTATCATCATGTGATGCTCGTTTAGACTTAGGTCTTTTAGAGTTAAATTCTGAAATAAACTATTCCTTCCTTCACGTTCTAATGTGATATAATCACACTTTAACATGTAGCATTTCTAGCTACCAACTTCTTTAGCGTCGAGCCGATACTTCTATTGGTCTCTTTGATTTTTAATCGTTTGGTTTAAGTCGGACGCTATATCAAACTTGGTTCTCTGAACCACGTAACCTACTCATCGTAGTCGGACTCAATGTGACATGACCACTAGGGTTGGGATAACAACAATCTTCTTAGTCATTACCGAAACAATGGTAACGGCATACTTGAATAAAACGAAATCAATTACTGGCTTCTTGGTAACCTTGTGACTTTCCCTGATCCAAGTGTGAGTCCTGTGCTTCCGGTAGTATAGGCCTCTACTACCATTCACACCTACTCATACTCGTCCCAAGTATTGTCCCGCAGTTTCCCAAGTCACCATGCAACAATTCATACAATCATTCAACACATCAGATAACAAAACGAAGGTTTTATATCATTTCTTGAAACGATTACATAGGTGTTCAAGTTCACCCTAGACTATGCCTCTACTAGGCTACATCATACGAAACTATGACTACTGCATAATCCGATCCTCGGGTAAGAAGTCCTCATTCTTGATTCCTCGCATGGTTCTCTGCTTCGTCGAGGATCATGTGAAATGCCCTTGGCCTTGGTGGCGTTTCTGGTCTTGCTGCTTTATTTTTCTTTGGGCAGTCTCTGGACATGTGCCCCTTGCCTCCACATCTATAGCATACTTTGTCATTATGCGTGCAGTCTTTGGAATAGTGACCAGTCCTCCCACACTTGTAACAAGTCACTTCTTCGTTGCACTTTCCACCATGCTTCTTCTTGCATCTATCACACCATCTTGCTTCACCTCCATTTGCTCCTCCAAACTTTGAGAATTTGCTTTCCTTGTTCGGCCTCGAAGATCCTTCAAACTTCCGCTTCTCTCCTACCTTATCTTTTTCTAGACCTTTTTCTCTTATCTGGGCCTCTACGTTCTTAGCTGCCCTAACAGCTGCTTTCAAAGTAGTTGCCATTTTGACCATTGGGCCAAAGTCAATGGGTAGTCCGTTAGCAAACCTATCAATCTTGGAGAGTTCAGTAGGCACCAAGTAGGGGAATAGCTTCATCCTTTCGGTGAATGCGGTGGCATACTCGTCAATACTCATCTTTCCTTTCTTCAGGTTCTGAAACTCGTTGTTTAGGTCTATCAGATCTATCTCCGAGCAGTATTGCATTTTCAACTGTTCCAAAAACTCTTCCCACGACATCCTTAAGGCTTCTCCTCGTGGCATCGTATCTGCCAATAGCTTCCACCAGCTCAAGACTCCAGTTTTCAGCTGTCTTACTGCGAAGACAGTCTTCTGTTTCTCGTTACAGCTGCAGCTCTCAAACACCATCTCCATCTCAGAGATCCAATCCATAATCTCAACCGGCTTCGGGCTTCCTGAGAGATTTGGGGGTTTCGCACCCAAGAAATTCTTGTATATCCGCCCATCCTTGTTGTTTCTCCCTTCAGGGTCATCCCTTTGCTCACCTTGAGTCCCTACTTGACTCACTTGGCGGCTGTAGTTCCCTTCCTTTGATTGCTCGGGAACTGGCTCTGTCGGTTCAACATGTACGGTAGGTTCGTCCCTATTTAACATTTGCTCATTTCTTCCCTTTGTTCAGCCAACATAGCCCGAATCATGGCTTGAACTCCAGCCATGGTGACTGGATCAAGCGCAACTTCTTCTACAATAGGTATTTGCTGAACCACTGGGGGTTGGATCCTGTTCCCATTTGCGTTTACGTTTCCGCTACGGGTTCTTGCCATCTTGATCTATACACCGAATAAGGTGAATCTAGATCTTAATTTAGGATTGACGTCTTAAATCATCCTTATCACTCCGAAACGTTTATATGCTAGTTCTAATATCGTAGTCGTACATTTAGAATCCTAAACACATAAGGTTTCCAGATCCGGTCGGCAACAGACCATAGATCCGAACAACTAACAGCATATCAGGCACAAGTATTTAGCACATAAAAGCATTTTAGGCATAATTCCTAAAATAAGCTAGTGCTCACACCTCACAATCATCGCTTAGCATTCTAAGTTTAAGTCTAGAAATAGATTCATATTCCTAGTTCGCTTAAACTAATGCTCTGATACCAACTGTGACATCCCCATTTTCACGGCCAGAAAAGACCGATTTTGTTTATGCTTTATAAAAATCAGAGTACTTCATTTTATAAAAAGGTTGCGGAATTTGTTCCCAGAAAAACACGATAAATACGTTATTAAAACATTTTCGAAGAAACGTATTTTTAT